TGTGAGGTTTGTTGGGAACTAGGCAAGTGGGGGTTATATATCTGTGGAATGTCAAGGGTAGATGAAAGAACTCTTGTCTGTTGGAGGTAGGTGTGAATATTTCAATTGGCCACCTTGATTAGCATTGAATGGCCTAGCAGTTTTCAAGTTATCACTTCTTACTGCCTGAGGGAATCCTTTGTTGAGAGGTGATTAGTTGTCCCTGATTGTTTCTTGTCTGGAGCTCCCCTGTCTTTATTTACTGTTATGATTTTAGAGTTTTTAAATACTGGTAGCCATGGTCATTTTCATGGTTTCCTCCTTTCTGTTGAAATTTTCCACATGCTTATGGATTTCAGTGGCTTCTCTGTGTAGTCTGACATGGTGGTTGTTCGAGTGGTCCAGCATTTCTGTGTTCTCAAATAATATGCTGTGTCCAGGTTGGTTCATCAGGTGCTCTGCTATGGCTGACTTCTCTGGTTGAAGTAGTCTGTAGTGCCTTTCATGTTCCCAAACACAAGTCAAGGAACCTCTGAGGATGCCTACCATAGATGCAGGCGAAACATCAGGAGATAATGCTTCTGAAACATGGCCATACAGCCCAAAAAACTTACAGCAACCCATAGAACACTTATTTGTTTGGGAATTAACACCTCTCAAACAAAGGATGCCTCTATGCAACAACAGCCAGGCTACCTCTATGCAAATACCCTCACTGATTGACTTTGCCACTGCAAGGCTACTCCATGCTAATCAAGCTTGCTAATTGCAACATCCACACTTGCTTCAAACAGACAATGGTTCTTTCACACACAGTTGAATTGTTGCCTCTGGCCTTTTAGTGCAACCTGAAACGGATACTGCCAATTTTAATCTGCAGCCATTGCTGCGTTTATATTGGGTAATTTATTTAAACTGATTTGGGTTTTTGTATGCTTTTATGTAAATTTGTTTTATGTTAATTGATATTGTTATTGTCTTATAAAGGTTTATGCATTTTACTGTATTTTGTATGTTCTTGCAGCACTATGATGTGCTTTTGTAAGCCACCCCAAGTCCATTTCAGGAGATGGTGGCACGGTATAGAATTATTATTATCTACTAGCCATACCCTGCCACGCGTTGCTGTGGCCCAGTCTCTGTATATGTGCTTTTTGTGTGTATATATGTGTATATGTGTGTATATATTTGTGTACAGTGGGGGGAGGGGAAAGTATTTAGTCAGATACCAATTGTACAAATTCTCCCACTTAAAAAGATGAGAGAGGCCTGTAATTGACATCATAGGTAGACCTCAACTATGAGAGACAACATGAGAAAACACATCCAGAAAATCAAATTGTCTGATTTTAACGAATTTATTTGCAAATTATGGTGGAAAATAAGTATTTGGTCCATAACAATAGTTCATCTCAATACTTTTGTTATATATCCTTTATTGGCAATGACAGAGATCAAAAGTTTTCTGTAAGTCCTCATAAGTTTGGCACACACTGTTGATGGTATGTTGGTCCATTCTTCCTCAGGAGCAGTAATGTTTTGGGGCTGGCGCTGGGCAACATGGACTTTCAACTCCCTCCAAAGGTTTTCTATAGGGTTGAGATCTGGAGACTGGCTAGGCCACTCCAGGACCTTGAAATGCTTCTTACGAAGCCACTCCTTTGTTGCCCTGGCGGTGTGCTTAGGATCACTGTCATGCTGAAAGACCCAGCCATGTTTCATCTTCAGTGCCCTTGCTGATGGAAGGAGGTGTGCACTCAAAATCTCATGATACATGGCCCCATTCATTCTTTCATGTATACGGATCAGTCACCCTAGTCCCTTTGCAGAGAAACAGCTCCAAAGCATGATGTTGCCACCCTCATGCTTCACAGTAGGTATGGCATTCTTTGGATGCAACTCAGCATTCTTTCTCTTGCAAACATGACGAGTTGTGTTTCTGCCAAACAGTTCTCCTTTGGTTTCATCTGACAATATGACATTCTCCCAGTACTCTTCTGGATCATCCAAATGCTCTCTAGCAAACTTCAGTCAGCCCCGGACATGTACTGGCTCAAGCAGGGGGACACATATGGTACTGTAGGATCTGAGTCCCTAGCAGCGTAGTGTGTTACTGATGGTAGCCTTCGTTACGTTGGTCCTAGCTCTCTGCAGGTCATTCAATAGGTTCCCCTGTGTGGTTCTGGGATTTTTGTTCACCGTTCTTGTGATCATTTTGACCCCATGGGATGAGATCTTGCGTGGAGACCCAGATCGAGGGAGATTATCAGTGGTCTTGTATTTCTTCCATTTTCTAATTATTGCTCCCACAGTTGATTTCTTCGCACCAAGCTGCTTGCCAATTGCAGATTCAGTCTTCCCAGTCTGGTGCAGGGTGACAATTTTGTTTCTGATGTCCTTCGACAGCTCTTTGGCCTTCACCAGAGTGGAGTTTGGGGTGTGACTGCTTGAGGGGTGTCTTTTATACTGAGAACAAGTTCAAATAGGTGTCATTACTACAGGTAATGAGTGGAGGACAGAGGGCCTCCTAAAGAAGTTACAGATCTATGGGACCCAGAAATCTTACTTGTTTGTAGGTGACCAAATACTCATTTCCACCATAATTTGCAAATAAATTTGTTAAAATGAGACAAGGTGATATTCTGGATGTGTTTTCTCATTTTGTCTCTCATAGTTGAGGTCTACCTATGATGCCAATTACAGGCCTCTCTCGTCTTTTTAAGTGGGAGAACTTGTACAATTGGTATCTGACTAAATGGAGCCCCCGGTGGCGCAGTGGGTTAAACCCCTGTGCCGGCAGAACTGAAGACCAACAGGTCGCAGGTTCGAATCCGGGGAGAGGTGGATGAGCTCCCTCTATCAGCTCCAGTTCCTCATGCGGGGACATGAGAGAAGCCTCCCACAAGGATGATAAAACATCAAAATCATCCGGGCGTCCCCTGGGCAACGTCCTTGCAGACGGCCAATTCTCTCACACCAGGATGCTCCTGACACGATAAAAAAAATCTGGCTAAATACTTTTCTTCCCTACTGTATATGTGTATATACATGTGTTTGCATATGCATTGTACTGTATTTTTTATTTGGGGGCCTTTTAAGTTTCCTCTGCAGTGTTTTTCAGTGTTTTATGAGTGATGGTCACTCGTTGGCCTGATAGGTGTATTGTATCCAAATTTGGTGTTAATTCATCCATTGGTTCTTGAGTTATGTTAATCCCACAAACAAACATTACATTTTTATTTATATAGAAGACTAGCTGTCCCCTGCCACGCGTTGCTGTGGCCCAGTCTGGTGATCTGGAAAATAAAGTAATGTGAAAATGTTGGTTTCTAATGTAAGTAATTTCTTTCTGCTTGTGGGTAAGCAGCATTTCTTGTTGTTTCTTTGTCAGTGTTGATGTGAAGATTGTCTGGTTTGCCTACTCTGGAACAGGCAACATATAGTTGTCCTTCTTTAGGGGTCCTTTTCATATCTATGAGACTATATCTGTGTGTGTGAATAATATCTATCTATATCTATGGCTGAATGGCTCTTTGTCAGGAGGGCTTTGATTACATTTTCTTGCCCTGGTGAAGGGAGTTGGACTGGATGTTGGTCATGGGGGTTCTGTGTGGGATGTTTGCCCCGATTCTGTCATTTGTGCGGTTCAGAATGCTCTTTGACTGTAGGTGAACTATAAATTCCAGCAAAAAAAAATTTGTTTTTTTTGTCATGTCAGGAGCAACTTGAGAAACTGCAAGTCGCTTCTGGTGTGAGAGAATTGGCCGTCTGCAAGGACGTTGCCCAGGGGATGCCCGGATGATTTGATGTTTTATCATCCTTGTGGGAGGCTTCTCTCATGTCTCCACATGAGGAGCTGGAGCTGATAGAGGGAGCTCATCCGCCTCTCCCCGGATTCGAACCTGCGACCTGTCGGTCTTCAGTCCTGCTGACATAGGGGTTTAACCCACTGCGCCACCGGGGGCTCCATTCCAGCAAATACAACTCCCAAATGTCAAGATTCTAATTTCCCCAAACTCCACCAGTGTTCACATTTGGACATATTGAGTATTTGTGTAGAGTTTGGTCCAGATCCATCATTGTTTTGAGTGCACAGTGCTCTCTGGATGTAGTGAACTACAACTCCAAAACCAAAGGACACTGCCCACCAAACCCTTCCAGTATTTTCTTTTGGTCATGGAAGAACTGTGTGCCAACTTTGGTCCAATTCCATCGTTGGTAGGGTTCAGAATGCTCTTTGATTGTAGGTGAACTATAAATCCCAGCAACTACAACTCCTAAATGACAAAATCAATTTTTTTGTAGTGAAGGACATACATTGGGTTGTTAGGCATTTGTGACCAAATTTGGTGTCAATTGGCCCACTGGTTTTTGAGTTCTGTTAATCCCACAAACGAACATTACATTTTTATTTATATAGATAAATGGGAGTGAGTCCCCTCGGGGACGGATGAGCTCCCACTATCAGCTCCAGCTCCTCATGTGGGGACATGAGAGAAGCCTCCCACAAGGATGATAAAACATCAAAAAACATCCGGGCGTCCCCTGGGCAACGTCCTTGCAGATGGCCAATTCTTTCACACCAGAAGCGACTTGCAGTTCCTCAAGTCGCTCCTGACACGACACAAAAACAATTATTATTATTATTATTATTATTATTATTATTATTATTATTATCATTATTATCAGGTGGCGCCTCTTAAAGGGAATGAAGGCAGGTGCGTCCCTCAGGAGAGTCAGGGTAGTCCTATGCGCAGGCGCAGACAGGCTTCTCTGAAGGGACCAAGCGCCTGGCAGCGAGCCTTGAGAAGGGGGCGGGGCCTACGCACGTGACAGACAGAGCGACAGAGGGAAGGAGGTGTAGCAACGCTCGCGCCAGCCGCGAAGACCAGCCTGCGTAGGGCTGCAGTTCCGACACACGAAACGGTCTCAAAACGAAGAAAAACAGTCTCTGTTCGGTTTTTTTTCCTGGCTCATACGCCCCTCTATGTTTTTCCTCCCTCCCTGGCTCCCTCACTGACCTCTCCCTTAGCTAAGAGTTGGGCCGCGCTCCCTCTTCGGCTTCCACCTCCTCCTCTTGGGATTCCCGCTGGAGGTTCTTTCCTCGCGCCGAGGGAGCGCGCGCTCACTCGCATGCACTCTCAAAAGGGGGCGGAGGGATTCCCGCGTCCCCGCCCAGGTGTGGCGCTCTGCCCGGAAGCGAGCGCGAGGGAAGGACGTCAGATTGATCTACCCACCTCTTCGCTGTAAGCGCTCGGCAACCATCTTGGGTGTGGCGCGAGGGCAGAGTGTTTTGCCTCTGGATGAGCTCGAGGCAGAGAGTCCCGCTTTGCCGCCGGATGAGCTCGAGGCAGAAGCCCAAGAGCGGGAAATGTTTTTCTTTTTGGGGAGTGGGTGAGGGAGAGTAAAAAGCGGGCATATTTATTGCTCGGTTTTGGAAGCCATGTGCTTAGTTGTTTTATCTGTAAGGGCCACCCGTAAACTCCATCTCCACAATGAGACAGATTGTTTTTCTCGTGTCAGGAGCGACTTGAGAAACTGCAAGTCGCTTCTGGTGTGAGGGAATTGGCCGTCTACAAGAACGTTGCTCAGTGGACGCCCCAGTGTTTTGATGTTTTTACTATTCTTATGGGAGGCTTCTCTCATGTCATCGCATGGGGAGCTGGAGCTAACAGAGGAAGCTCATCCACACTCTCCCCGGATTCAAACCTCAGACCTGTCTGTTTTCAGTCCTGCCCATACAGGGGTTTAACCCATTGAGACAGATGTGGAGGTGTTACTCGATATAAAGAAAGGGAATGGGCCTCTTCTCTTAACAGCCCAAGAAACACACAGCTGTATAAAATCTAAAAGCCTTTGCAAAAGCATTTTAAAAAGCTTGGCCTCTCACTGAACATGGACAAAACTGAAATGCTCTTCCAGCAGTCACCAGCCAAAGTCAACATCAACACAGAGATACAAAAACCTCTGAGCTCTGAGAGTGCAGCATTCTTCTGAGTGTTTGAGGATTCAGAAGGTTTCACCTCACTTTCTGTTACTAACTGGATGTTGAAAAATGTGACTTGTTGTGGAAACAGGGATTAGTGAGAAAACTTCAGCAGAGGCACCTTTTCACCATGATAATAACTCTTTCAAGAGTGAATTTCTCTTCCGAGGAATCAATTTCTGTCACTTCCTGTTTCCTCACCTCCTGTTACCTCACTTAACTATGAATTGTTTGTAACTCGGATGTTTGTAACTCGGGCTGCTTGTATAGTTTAATCTTCCAACTATTGTATCCTTCCAATACTGGAGTTTCAATCTTTTAGCCATCAAGTGGGGCAGGAAAATTCAGTTTCAACTTAACATGTTTTATGTTCCAAGAAATGAGGAAATGGTTTAAAAGAACACGTGTGTGTGTCATTAACGGTTAGAAACCTTTCTAGTACCAAGTCTATTTGTGCAATTGCCTCAATTCATGGAGGCTTACAGAGGCATTGACAGCATTGTGCCTCCAATACTTATTAAAAATCAATATATCACACACACTGCCACCACCGACTCCTGTCTGCCAGCCACTTGAGTAGCCTCCCTTCCTCTCCTTCTGCTGGCTGATATCCAGTCAAGCTCTTGCCTTCCTAGATCCCACACTGCTTTTATCACCAGAAACCACCATGACACCATCGCCTTGTGGGTTGCCATGCTCGCTCTTCAGTTTCCTCTGCCATCCCACAGCAAGTTCCTGAGGATTAGGAAGCAGTGGTGCCTTCCCTAAACATCCTTCTGGGTCAAGAGGAAACGCTTCCCATAACACCACCCAGGCACTCCAGAGGATCATTTCAAAATCTATCATTTTGGCCATCGACTTATACATGAGTATATCCAGTAAATCAGTTGTGGGATGCGACTGAGAGAAAGGAACTTGGAACTGTGAAACTCTTACAGGACATATGCCCACAGTGAGTGCTGAGACATGTTCTGTTCCATGGGATGGTCTCAGTTGGTCTATAGTTTGAAAAAGACATGAGCACATTCTTATGCATGCTGCATATCTTTTATTTGTAGTGCAAAAATAATAATGAAAGAACAATATAGTATATAAAACAAAGAACAATTTTAACCATCATATAAGTACCAGTCTTTCAATGGAAAGTGTGGGCCTGCTTTTGGCTGATGAGAGAGTCAAGTTAATTAGGATTGTTGTTGTGTGCCTTCAACTCATTTCAGACAGTGGCATATACTGCCTAAGTCTGGTGGGAGTGTCCTCCTCTGGGGAAGTTTCTCAGCAGAGGCAGCATGACCATCTGTTGGGGTGGCTTTGAATGTAACAGGAGCTTATAGTTGCTCCCGCCTGGCTCTCCCTTTTTCTTCCCTAGGGAGAAACCACAACGAAAGGCAGCCTTTTTGGGTGACTATGCAGGATGATGGCAGTGCGGAGAAGATTGGGAGAGAAGCCAGGCAGGTGTTCAACCTCCAGGACTTGCCATTCCCGACCAGGCAGCAGAGAGGACCTGGTGCAAGCAGGGCAATTGGGGAGCTTCCCTTTGCAAAGAAATAAAAAAAAACATTGTGGGGGAAGAAAGAGAGAGAGAAGGGGCCACTGAGATGGGATACCTGAGGCTGGAGCTACCTGAGGAGAAAGCAACACGTAATTTGGGGAAGGAATGGAAGAGGCTGCCATCTCTCTCCTTCCAAGGAGCCTGCCTTTTCTGGGGCTCTGATCCCCAACAAGGAAGGCATGAATGAAGAGAGGAAAGAAGTCGAGGGAGGGAGGCCTGAAGATAGATGGCCTGGAGAAATTTGATTTGGCTGCATTAGGGCCCCCGGGCCAGTCTTAGGGGAACAAGACACCATAACACAAAGTTTTTGAAATGAGCAGATACATTCAGGAAGGATTTCTATTTGGCAAATAGTTAAACAGAACCATTACTGTTTGGGACAACAACAATAGAAAGGCTGGGGACAATCAGTCAAGATTATATCCAAAGACATATTGTTGACAGGAAACGTGGGCCTTAGCAGTCCAGTCTTATAGATATTTAGTGAAAAGCAAGTCCTGCTGTATTTTAATGAGTTTATTTCCAGCTACATATGCACTGGACTGCAGACCAGTCTTGAGTGCTTCTGCGGTCAAATTACGCTGTGTCTGCTTATCTGTCCTTAGGACTTTCTAAACTTTGGAAGATTTTTTTTCTTGCTTTAATAACATCAGACTCTTATTGCCATCATAAAGTACCAAAAATACCACAAAAATTATTCTCTGTGATAGATCATTTTAAAGATCCTTAGGTCATAATGAGCCATCTCAGACTTTCCATGCACTGGAGGGAGCTCAAGCCATAATGGGTACCAAGTTTCACATTAGGATAGCCCTATTTTTCGTTATTTGTTTTTACTTTTATTTGCTTTCCAGAACATTAAAAAGTTCTAAAATGAAGGAGAAAGATTTCATTTCCAGTCTGTAAAGCATGTAATTTACATCAATCAGCAGAATTTTCACAAATCTGCAATGCAATTTAAATGCACGCATTATGTGGAAATCGAGTTCCTGTCTGGGGAGAGACTGCCATTTCTGCAAGTTTCTAGTGTATTTGAGGAAAGCAATGGGAGACCGAATAAACTCATCATACCAGAGAAATACAGTACCCCCTTGTCCTGTCCACAAAGTCATTGTAAGAATATGCTTGTGGTAATTTAGTATAACTAAAGCCTTGCTAATAAGAAAATATTCATACCTTCAATAAGGACCACAGCACTTATTACCCATTACTGTGGCAAGAAAGTATTCCAGATGTATTAAAACAAGAAACCATACTTTTGTAAAAGCCACACTTAATATGAAGTCATCTACAGTAGGATAACTCTTTATTTTCTTCCTGCCTGTCAGTCAAAGCAAGTGTTATTTTTCTATTCCTCTCTTTGTTTGTATATTTTTACTTTGTGACAGTGAACATTGCTATCACGAATACAAATTTTTGTCTTTCCAAATATCCATAGTGGTTCATCCAGGTGAACCCAGAGCTATGTTGCCACCCACTGACCTTATATGACCTTATATATCTCGAGAGGTTTCATCCTCCATTCCATCTGAAGGCATATAGACACTAGAGCCAAGATCTATGTGAGATATTCTTCTAGACTCGTCTCTCTCTGAAATCAGAACCGTCAAATCTCTCATCTTCCCATTGCAGCTCTCTTTAACACCCAAAACTATGCTCCATAGTTTCTAGATCCCCTCCACCCATACATTTTAAGGCATACTGTGGTGTGGAGGGAGGTGGTGGAGGAAGCAGCAAAATCTGGCAGATGTCTGTACCCAGTCCATTATTTCATCATCATCAGGGCCTCCGCCCCATGTTTACTTTTTAAAATCTTCACCAAATGAATTGGAGATCTCAAATGGTGGCACATATTATTCATGCTCTTTTGTTTTGTCTAATAAAATTGTCGCACTGGCAAACATTTGCTTTTTTGGTGTATTCATAAGCACAATCTGAGTCTCTAGGAGAAATATAAGAATTCAAAAAAAATGTCATTGAAATTTTAATGTCCTATACTGTAGTTTACAAAGTGAATTTCTCCTTCCAGAAGACACACATTACATTTTGCCATGAAAAGACGTACTTTATGAATCCAGAAGGAGTTGAGAGCCCGATAAATAGCTGAGTAGGCTTGCTTACAGTTCTACAGAAGAGACCATGAAAAGACCATGGAAGATTCTAAAATACTCTAGAAAGTTTGATGACGCAGTATTAGTGCTGTGTGCAAAAGCCAGAAAGCCCTATATAAGGCCAGACTTTTGAATGGTGAGGGTCAGTCAGTTGAAGACTGAGACAGTATCGTTAAACATTGTTTTACATTGTTCTTTTTACTGTAGTTATGCCTCACACGTGTGTAAATAAAGCACTATGGAAAAAAGATATCAAGGCAAATGGACTCCGTCAATGCTGTCAGACTACTGCTGGAGCATTGTAAGAGACAATCCTTTCCTTGAATACAAAAGAAAAGTCAAGAGAATCAAACAGGATATAAACTAAAGTCACGATTCAAGCGACATTTACACTTTCAGACTTTTCAACTGCATGAGGCCTACTAATATACTTTCTTGCTGCACAAACATAAACAATAGACTAATTAAATAAATATTTCTCATGTATAAACTAT